GGAGAGGGTCCCCTTGGCCATATCACATCACAGAGTGGGGAGAGAGAGGGGGAGATCGCATGGCAAGACAGAAAGCCAGAGAGCAGAGTAGGGCCAGTCTTTCTCTTTTTTAACAACCTATTCTCCTGTCCTTTCATTAAATCCCATCTCTTAAAGGTTCCACAGTCTTTCAACACTGCCACATTGGAGACTAAGCTTCCAACACATGAACCATTGGTCATTTGAGACAGTCTCCCCAAAAGAGATGCTGAAAAAGCAGACATGGGTTCTAGGGATGTAGAGATGAAAGATACAGATAATCCTCATCTTTATGGGCTAGCAAGGGACAAGTGAAGCACCAACTGTGCTCAGTTTGGTCAGTGCTGAGGAAGCACCCAAGAGCAGTTAGTTTCCTTGGGAGGTGATCAATGGATGTACAAGTGAGGGAGGGAGGAAAGTGAGGCCAAGGAAAGTTGCAAAGCCAATAAAGGGTGTGTTACTGAGTGGGCCGCTGCTGTGGTCACCCAGGGCTCAAATTCACTGTGAACCCTCAGTTTCACCAAGAGGTGAGAAAACTGGGCTATTTACCTACAAACTCCTGTCCCTCATTGACTGAGGGCTGTCCCTGCACGTCTTAAATCCCCAGTACTTCCAGGATGCTCTGCACACAGGCAGAGCAAGCTCCAGGAGTGGCCTGAAGCTTTCAGCAAATTTAAAGCAGTAGAGACAGGTGCTTGAGATGATGCTGTCATAGTGCAACTGGAAGTGCAACTGGAACTGCACCTGAGGTGGACTCAGAGGTTGGCAGAGGGGACATGGACAGAACATTATATCTGCTATAGTGGAGACAATTAAACAATATTTAGAAGGAAGAATGCATAGTTTGGTGGGTGGCTGGATATCAGGAGCAGGAAACAGGGAGTCTTAAAATGACTTTTGTCACATTTATTGAGTTTAAAACAATTGCCCGAGGGATAGTTTTAGGGTTAATCATGGCGGAGAAGAGATTATTTTATTTGTTCTTGTTGAGTTGGAGGTGTCTGTGATATAGCCACGTGTCATATTGTGATCACAAGTGGAATTTTCCTAATTCTGTGTTAAACTATGCAGGTTTTAATTTGAAATGTTGAAATTCCTTACAGGGTTTATGGGTGAAAGTTCTCACCCTCATAATGAATGAAGATTTTTTCCCCCTTGTTGAAAGAGCACATTTAATCTGGTGGCTTAAGTGATGACCTTTAAAATTGTTTGGTATCCCTTTCCACCTGCTGTTCACGTATTAGTTGATTTTGAACCTGTTGGTGAATTCTATTGCAGATTGTCTCCCTCCGAAGAAAGGGAATAATAAATACTCTTTGCATTATTTTATAGCTATAGAAAACCATCTCTTCTGAGATGTTGCAGAGCCCAGTGGCCCACCAAGTTTGCTTTCAAAACTTACAGCGCTCCAATTATACTGCTGTTACTGAATTCGGTACTAAAGTGAATATGCTTGTTTTCTAAAATGGAATTTTTAGAGGATAAAAGCTTATATTTGCCAACTGAAATAAGCCAGATAGTTAGCTAATTATGGCATGGAACTCATCCTGATTTTTATATATACATAATTTTTTTTCTCCTCTCCATAGACATAGATTTGCATTTGGAGACGTGCATCCTGTTTTTGCTCTATTTCAGAATGCATTTTTCAATAGATGTTGAAACCACTTACATTTTAATTTTCTGAAGTAGTTTCTTTGATGGATATTTTATTATAGGAAGAAATATAGAGCATCCAAGTCAATGGGGCCAGAGACAAAGATATGAAACGGGTAAGATCTGCCTTTAGCTTTCTCTTTCAAAATGACCTTCCTTTTTCCTGAGGACCTTCCACTGTCCCAGGGTTCACTTTCAAGGTGCTCAAGGTTGTTGGCTTCCACTTCAAGAAGGCATTTGTGTTGCCATCACAAACCTGTAAGGCCTGCGAGTTTATATGTGATATTTGCTTCACCATACTTGTTTGTACCTTGACTACATGTGAGGCTCTGGTGTATGTGGTGAAAATGGAAGAACTGGAGAGCAAAACAGAGTCAGAACAAGGCCAGGTGCCATGGGTCTACTTCATCTTCCTTAGTGAGTGGGGCCGTGCTCATAGTTACATTGGAAATTGGCTCCAAAGGAAGGTAAGAACAGAGGAAGTAGGACTGGATATAGTGAGAACTTATCATAGGCCAGCAACTGTGCTAAGCATTTTGCGTATATACTATCTCATTTAATTTAACAGAACAATGTATTTTCTTAAGAATGTCCTCGAGAGTGAACGTTCCTAGGGAAAAGCAGAAAGGCTTCCCTATAGCTCCAGTTTCTCTGAGGGTTCCCACTGTTGGCCCTTGGAAGAGCTCTTCTTTTTTGTTTAAGCAGTTTTAAAGAAGGAATTGTGTGCTCAATTTTGCAAAAACAAATTCTTTCAGTGGCCATTTTGCTGAAGAAAAAATTGACAGTAAAGTTACAGAGGTTTTGAAACTAGAATTTTTTGAGTAATAAAATAGCTTGTATAGTACAAAATAAAGTAATGACAGTAACATTATTTTACTTTTGAAGGTTCAAAGGAGCACACACAGAGAGAGGCTGGATGCTTTTAGGTTGTAAGGTAGAGTTTTTCATTCTTCTGCTCTACTTTTGATGGCACCCACTCAAGAATAAAGCTTTACTTGTCATAATGGGAAATCTATCTGAGGGTCTGTCCTTGAGGCCAGGTCATCCTGCTTGGAACTCTCTGAAAACCTCCCCACATGCTATGTCTGCTTTCAGAACCCAATGACTGGATGTCAGAGCTTGTCAGGCGCATGTGCAGCTCAGTTGCCTGCAGAAACCGCTGAACTTTGCACAGGCTGTGGGTGGCAAAGCACTTGTGTGTGTCCAACCTGCTGTTCAGCTTGGAGCCACCACTGGTTTCAATTATGACTTCAACAGGCAGCTTTGAGGGCGCCTGTATTCGTTACAGTGCCTCACTCTCTATAATTAGTAAAAAAGGAACACAGGCACTTCACAAATATAAAGGACTAAATAATCAGGCAGTAAAGGAAGGCATTGAGACTCTTCCACTTAACTCTTTGTTTCTTTCAGGTTAAAAAAAAATCCCACGAGTGTGAGGCTGTGAGTTCAAATCCCAGCACTGCTGAAAAAAAAAATCCCACAAATTTCTTTCGTTGCTTCATGTTCTTGAATAATCTAGGTTTGACTCTTACCCAGGCCACTTTTTAGCTGTGTCTAACTTCCTTGTGCCTTGGTTTCCCTGTCTACAAAATGGAGTTAATGATAGTTCCCATGGCATAGAGATGATTTGAGGATTAAATTCTATAACTAATTCATGCAGAGTGATTTGTGAAGAACTCTGCTCATATAAAAGCTTGCTCAGTAAATGTTCGCTTTCGTTATTATCATTTTAATTCTAAATGAAATGCATAGAAAACATAGGCACAGGTGTCTTAATATCCTTTCCCACTTTATTTTTATTTTTTATATTAGCATCTTAATACTTATGTTTCCAAACACCACATACAGACACACGCACATGCACACACACACACTGACGTAGTCATCTACCCTCACATGTGTGCATGCCAGCATTATCAATATTTTATCTGTCTTGTCTCATAGAGCCACATTTTTTTTTCTAGAATATTTTAAAGCAGATCCTAGCCAGGTGCTGGTGGTACAGGTGAACACACCTGTAATCCTACCTCTTTGGGAGGCTGAGGTCAGGAGGATTGGAGGCCGGCTTGGGCAAATAGTTTGAGGGATACCCACCCCCATCAAAATAACCAGAGCATCAGAGGATTGGAGGTGTGGCTTAAACAGTGGAGTGCCTACTTTGCTTTGCAAGTGTGAAGCTTTGGGTTCAAACCCAGTCCACATCCCCCAAAAAAAGCAGATCCTAGGCATAATATTATTTCACCATAAATTTGTGTGTGTGTGGCATTGAGAATTGAACCCAGGGCGAGCACTCTACCACTGTGCTACAACTCCAGCCCATTTGTGTGTCTTGTCTCTTTTTGATACTAACACCCTAATATGCAGCTTGGGATAGTCTTCACCTCAAATCCCAGCTCATAAAGGAGTAGTAAAATCGCTACAAATGTTCACTTAATGAGTGAAGGAACAATTCAAACTTACCTTGCCTTTGCTTTTTGGTAGATGACTGGTAGATATTGCTGAGGGAATAAATGAGGAATTTTAGAGAGCGACAAGTGTATATGGAGATTACAGATTTTACAAAACCAATGTTTTTAATACCTGAGTGAGATTTTGCAGTGCTTGAAATCCATTGGTTTAACATTGCTATGAACATTAATAATGCCCAAATAACTAGTTCTTGAAAGAAGATTTAATTCTGCTGCTGAAATTTGTAAATGTCAGACTATAAGCAACTTCATGAAAAGCAATTAGCAGATTCTTCAAACACGTGACAAATCCTTTATTACTGTGCTTATAAGTGACACGGTTTACAGAAAACCAAATGTAATTAAATAACATTAACTTGAAATCTACCACAGACTCAAGATATACAAGTTACATTTGGCAAGGCAAAACTTCTTAAACACTAGGTTGTTTCTGGTGAAAGATAAAGTTCCATTGAATAATTCCAACATGTTTTGTTTTTTGTCTTACAGACAGTTCCTTTGGCAATAACTTCCACTTTAGCTTTTATTATATAAAAATAGAACAAAATTTCATTATGTACAAACATTACATTACACAATGTACAGGTTAAAAACACTAAGAAAATGGCAAGCCGTAAGTGAAATTAAAGTCAATAGCATGATAAGAAAAATTAAATACTGAACACATTTCATAAAAATTACATTAACTACATTTTTGTTTGCAAATACCAAACAGTACCAGTGTAATTGGAAATAGCTTCCAACAACTTCGTTTTAAGGCACATCTTGCATATTTCTATATACAACACTGAAACTGGTCAATAACTTAGGGCTTTTCAAAGTGACCTGTATATGTGTGTGAAGACATGCAGCACAGGATTACACGTTTTCATTACATTCCTTCTTTGGGGACAGGTATCTTCCAGGGGGGGACTGGTAGAGGGGTACTCCAATCTCCTGCAGATCCGGGAGCCTCCCTGGTCGGGGAGGGGAGAGTAGAGTGACTGTCCTGTCATAGTCTCTGTGCAACACTTTCTCATAGACGCTCTGCAGCCCCACTGTCTTGGGCAGCTGGGCCTGGTAGTAATTATCTCTGCGCAGAGGATCCCGAGGCAGGGACGTGCTCTTACAGAAGGTTGACATCTGGGCTGGTGGGTGAGGCGAGGGATGTGCATTGGGCCCACCACAGGATGGGCTCCAACAGCGGTCAGAATGGCCCAGGATCTTACACTCTGCTGTGCACGCCCATAGTCCTAGTGTACAAAGGAAAAGACCATGAGATTACACATACCTAAGGCCTCCATCTTCAGAATGTCAGCTAGGGTTAGGGTGGGCGAAAAGGAAGGTGTGTATAAAGATGTACAGTGATTCTAGAACTGAAAGACACTTTGCTTCCTGCACACAAAACTGGCCCAGCTCTTTTGCTGGAGAAAACCAAAAAAGACAAGCAGAATCGGCTCTCTGCTTCTGTCTAACTGGCTGGGTGTGTGCTTTTGTTTAGGTGGGCAGTTGTCTCTACTTGGCATTTTGAGGCAGGCTGGGATCAGGAACTGGAGGAATGAAAAGTGAGATGAGGGACTGGGAACCAAGATTTCTAGGGGGCAAGCAAGGGTGTGTGTGTGTGTGTGTGTGTGTGTTGAATTCCGCAGGGTAGAGAGTCCTCACCACTCTGCATGTGGTTGATGAGATCCTTTTTCAGAGCGTCCCCGCTGATGTCGGAATCGCTGTCGTTGAAATCACTGTCTCCTTTACCGCTGTCTTTGCCGCTGAACTTCTCCCCTTCTCGGCCAGAGATGGTGTTGAATGAATGTCCCTTCCAGACCGCCACAGGGGGCGCCGGCTCCTTTCGGAAGCCAGGGGAGGCACCGTAGGGCTGCAGCAGGGAATGGGGGAAAAGGGTGTGAGGGTCGGACAAGAAACAAAAAAGCAAGCGTGACAGGTTAAGCGTCTTCCTGCGAGAGCCCACCCCGACCCCTCCAGTCTCCCTTCCCCAGCCTGTCCGCGGAGCACGGAGTGGGGCGCCCAGCCGAAGGAAGGCCTCACCTCGGCGTGCGCGCCGCGGAGCCGCTGCTGCCCCTCGAAGTGACAGGCGCTTTCCCCAGTGGCGCTGCCGCCCTCTGAGCCCGGCACTTCGGCCGCGGCGACCGCGGGCGGGGGCGCGTCGGCCGCGGGGCTGCCAAAGGGCGCTTTGCCGCTGCCAGGGAAGGTGAGCACGTCGAACATGTTGGGCCTGGGCCCAGCTCCCCGGGCGGCCTCCTCCGGGGAGCCGGGAGCCGAGGCTCCGCCGCCCGCCGCCCCGGGCCGCTCTTCCCGGAGGGCCCCCCCTTTGCGCACCTCCTTCTTGCGGCGGTTGCAGGTGGTGGCGATGGCGATGATAGCGGCCAGCAGCAGCGTGCAACTTCCGGCCAACACGATGATGACGATCAACGGTGTGTCCCATTGCAGCGCAGGCCCCGACGCCTCGAGCCTCGAGCCAGGCGGGCGCGAGTGCTCCAGGCTCCCCGCACTGACAGGAGCAGCCGCCCCACGTCCACCGCCTGCTGTTACCACGAAGCTGACAGTGGCGGTGGTGGTGAGAGGGGGACGGCCGCCGTCGGATATGACCAGCAGCGCCCTGAACACGCGGCCCGGAGGTTCCTGGGAGAGGTCTCCGGTGAGCACGATCTCCCCCGTGCGGCGGCCGATGACGAAGGCTTCGCGCGGCTCCTGTTGCTGTAGGTCGAATGCAAGCTCTCCGTTGGCGCCCTCATCCACATCCCGGGCCTGCACGCGTCCCACAGCCGTGTCCCTTGCGGTGCGCCCGGGGACCGCTACTTCTAGGGAGCCATTGGCCGGCACAGGGTGCACCAGGACCGGCGCGTGGTCGTTCTGGTCCAGCACTCGCACTTGCACCAGAGAGCTGCTGGAAAGCTGAGGGAGCCACCGTCGCTGGCTTGGATGCGCACGTCCAGCTGGCGCAGAGACTCATAGTCGAAGCTACGCAATGCGTAGATGGCGCCAGTAGCCGGGTCCACCGAAACATAGGTAGACACGGCGTCCCCTGAGCGGCCCACTTCGGCTTCTAACAGTCGGTAGGTGACCTGGCCATTGCGGCCCAGGTCCGGGTCCCTGGCAGCCACCGTGGCCAGGTAGGCGCCAGGTGGGTTGTTCTCACGTACTGACACCTCGTAGACCGGCCGTGTGAAAAGCGGCGCGTTGTCATTCTCGTCGCCCACGCGCACTGTGTAGGGCCTTACGGTGCGCAGCGGGGGCGCGCCGCGGTCTTCGGCCACCAGCGTCAGGTTGTACTCGGCGATGCGCTCGCGGTCTAGAGAAGCCGCGGTCACCACCAGGTAGCTCCCGGCGTAGGCTGGCTGCAGCCGGAAGTGCTCGTGCCCGTAGAGGGCGCAGCGCACCTGTCCGTTGGCGCCTGAGTCCCTGTCCGAGGTGCTGACCAGCGCTACCAGGCTCTCGCGCGCCGCCCCCTCCGGCACCAGCGAAGTGGCGTCTGCCTCGGGCGTCCCAGGCTCAGCCGACGAGGTCGCGTCCGTTTCCCCAAGCGCAGCTGCGGCAGCAGCGGCAGCGAAAGGCGAGGCGGCTGGCGCGCCGGGGGCAGCCAGCGGGGTGATTGAGATGTCGGGAGCATTGTCGTTGACGTCGCGGATGCGCACGATGACCTTGCAGGTGGCGGCGCGTGGCCCAGGGCCGCGGTCTTGCGCCCTCACGTCCAGCTCGTAGGTGTCCTGGCGCTCATAGTCCACGGGTCCTGCCAGGGTGAGGCGGCCAGAGCGCGGGTCTAGCCGGAAGAGGCGGCGGGCTTCAGGCGGGGTGCGGGCGCCGAAAGCGAACACCACGTCGCCATTGGGACCCTCGTCGGGGTCGGCCGCATCCAGGTCCAGCAACAGCGAGCCCACGGGCGCGTCCTCTGCCAGTTCTACTTCGGCCACGGCGCCCTGAGGAAAGGCCGGGCTGTGGTCGTTGGCATCCAGCACGCGCACGCTGAGGGCGGCCGTGGCAGAGCGCGGCGGGCGACCACCGTCCTGGGCTACCAGCTCCAGGCTGTAAGCGGCCTGGTTCTCGCGGTCCAATTCCTGTAGCAGCACCAGATCGGCGCACTGGGCACCGTCCGCACGCGTCTGCAGTTCCACTCGAAAGGGGCTGTGGGGTTCGGTCAGGCGCACACTCTGCAGCCCGTTGGCACCCACGTCCTCATCCACCGGCACTTCCAGGGGGATGCGTGTGCCTACAGCCGCGCTCTCTGAGACCTCCACGGGGATCTGGGCCCGGGGGAAGCGGGGTGCATGGTCATTTACATCCCTCACCTCCACCTCCACGTGTACCAGCCGGAACTGCTCCTGAGAGAAGCTGACCACATCGAAGGCCAGCACGCACTGCGGGGCCTGGCCACAAAGCCGCTCACGGTCCAGGCCTGCGTCCCCGACGGTTAACTGTCCGTCGCCTTCTCGTACCCGGAGCAGAGAGCTGTTGAATTGCTTCATCAGGCGGAAGCTTGTGTCACCAGACACTTTCATATGCAGGTCCTCAGCGAGCGTCCCGATGACCGTGCCAGGAGCATCTTCCTCGAAGGTGCTGTATCTGACTGTCTTGCTCTGGGCCACTGAGAGCACCCAGCAGAGGCTAAAGAGCTGCAAGGGGAAAAGGCAAGGGCTGCCCCAGTGCCTCGCAGGACTCATGTCGCCAGCCCCAAGTGCTATTCCAAAAGGGAAAGGAAGAGAGTCCTCTCTGTTTTGCAGGCCTGGGCGTGAGTCCCAGGCTCCCGGGAGCACGCTCTTTGCGAGCTCGGTGCTGGAGAAGTCTGCTGGCTGCAGCTCCGGCTCTGGCTGGCTCTGAGGACGCGTGGACCCGCCTTCACTCCGCTCCTCTCCCTCCTTCCTCCTAGCAGGAGCTGCGCTGCTGCGCGCCGCCTCTGTCTTTATAGCATCCGATATGCAAATCACTGGAGCCGGGCAGCCAATGGCCGCCCTCTTGTAGCGCCGCTCCTCCGCCAGCCTCTAACAATCCTTTTAATGTGGAAAGGCTTAGAGAAGAAAACAAGAAATGAAAATGAGGGAATCTTTCTTTTGTTTTTAAAACTCCTTCTGCTCACCGCTCCCCACCCCCGCTTTTCTGGAAACATTTTGCTTGTAGAAGAATTGGCACAGGGTTTTGGGAGTAAAAGGAGTGGATGGTTTTGTTAACTGTGAGCCCTGCACCCCTACTGCTAGGACTAAGTGCGACTAGCTGGGGTTTCTCCCCCTGTGGCTCCGGATCTTCCAATCTCCTTCCCCCTTCATTTTCCTCCTCCCAAGCTTCCAAACTTGCTCTGAACAGTGAGACTCTGCTCTACTTCTCCCCCAGCTTTCCACGGCGCCCGGAATAGCCTGTCGATGAAGAATCCTAAAGGATAAGGGAAAATTGATTTTATTCAAATTTGTGTTCACAATTGTGTTTTCCTGGTGTGAGCCCGGTGATCAGAGCTGCCACTTCCCTTTCAGAAAAGAGCCCTACGAAATGTTAGTATGCATGTCACTGTCCAAATGGCTTTCTTAAACCCTGGGCGCTAGCAGACAAGGAAAAAAAAGTTCCAAATAGGATTTAGCATAAGCTTGAGGAGATTTGGAAAGGTTTCAAAGATCAGACTGTATCAAAGGCTTATGAAACCCTCGTTAGCAGGGGAAATAGAATGGCCTGGCAGGCGATCCTATTGGAGGCCCCAATGTCTGTATTATTTCACTGTGACAAGCTAAGGGAGAGAAAGTTGAACAGTTTCCACAGCGGAGTTGGGCTAACTTGAATATAATGAGAAAACGCCACATGTATCCATTATGTTCCCCTATTCATCCCCATCACTGCCATAACTCTCCGGCTAAACGGTGATGGGCGCTGAATTCCACACAATACCCGGCTGGTATAAAAGTGCATTTAGAGAACGTTCCCTCCTGATGCCTTGTTCCGCCTATTTAGAGGATTTTCTTTCGGTTCTAATAGGGCCGCTCTGGGAAGCAACACTCATCCGGTTCCAGAAGAACAAAATCACAGCATGAGGTTGAAACCTGGCATAAACCTGGGGGGAACTTAACCATCTGCCTGCAAAAATGTGGAACTTCGGCATTGCCAAACCCTGGGCTGGGCGGGTCACTGGATTGGCCAGGCGCTGCGCTGTTCTCGCAGGTATTCCCCTTCCCACCGCTGAAGGCCAGGGAGATGGAGCACTAACCTGGAACAAGACAGATTCTTATCGATTCTTGCTGAAGGGTTCTATTGAGCAGGCTATGTAAATACACAAGAAGGAGGAGAGGAAAAGCTTTTGAAGAAGTAAAAAAAGTGATGGGTTTGATAAGCAGATTGCATCCAGTCAACGTTCTAACACTGAAATCCGATTTTGTTACTGCTGCCAGCGTCTTCTGTGTTTTCTTTTTACCTTCGAACTCGAATGTGTTTTGGGTCATTTCAGAAAAGAAGCAGGAGTTCCTTGAGTAGTGAGACCACCTGCTAGGTGGGCAATGGGGTGTAGGAGGGTGAGGGAACAACCAGAAAGCAGAAAATGCAGTTCCAGTTATCAACAAGTGAAAGCTCTTATGAGATTGGGATGCAGGCAGTGTGTAGCTCGAGGCTTCCTAGGGTCCTTCCACCTTACAGTCCTGGGACTGTTAAAAGCAACGAGGCCAGACATCTGCAGCCACTAGAGGACATAAGAAAAGCAACACCTCCACAGGAGTCCAGTTTCCAGCTTGCCTCCCTCTTCCCCCACCCAGGGTCATTTTAACATTTGGCTTTCTCCCTGCCCTCGTCCAGGAGATATTCCTAGAGTGGAGTATATGCAGCCAAAAGAACTTTCGGTCGAACCTTGGGAACACCCCACCCTCCCGGCCTGGCGAATCCAATCAACCTTTGGCACTCCCAGGCTCTCGCCCCCTCCCACACTCCCCTGTCAGCCCAGATGGGAAAAGATTCAGAACTCGGCTAGTGGACAGCGGCCTCTGCGCTTCCGTTCTTGCAACCCCGGGTAGGTCAAGACGCCGAGGGGGGCGAGGGGGAGGGGGCGCTGCTGCTACAGAGCTGAAAATCCCTGGTTGGGGGAGGGAGTGGGCAATGGTGTGTCTTCAGTTGTCCCCGTGAGCCGACGCTTTCTCAGAGCACGGTAGCTAGTGGCTGGGAGTTGGACTCCAACTTTGAAGTTCTGGACTGGAACTCAGCTGTGTGCTCAATCAATCTCTCTCTCTCTCTCTCTCTCTCTCTCTCTCTCTCTCTCTCTCTCTCTCTCCTCTCTCTCTCCTCATTCTCGAGGCTGAAATAAAAGATGAGTGCGGGGGCGGGAAGGGAAGGAAAAAGTGGGGAAGCAGGCAAAAGCCCAGCGGTGGGGGGGGGGGTGGGCAGAGAGGAGTGGGGAGGCTCGTAGCAGGTTGAAAGCATATAATCGTCTGCCAGGGCCTTGGCCGCTGCGAAGTGGCAATGACAGCCGCAGCGCGGGGAAGCTGGAGCGGGCGCGGAGCGGCGCGGAGCGCGGAGCCTGGCGGCTAGCGCCGCGGCAGCGGGCAGTAGACGTGTGAAGGCACGCGAGCCGCCAGCTTATGGAAATGCCATTTAAAATAGCGCATCGGCGGCCACAGCAACTCCCTGGGGAGGAAAAATGTCCTGGGTGGGTTGAGGGTAGGGGGAGAGGAGCAGTGGGAAGGGAGGGGAGCTCGCCTGCCCCAGCGCTGATCCCACTCCACAAAAGCCGCTCAGATCGCCTTGTTATCATACCAAAAGGCCTCACTAGGCTCAAAGGAACCCCTTTCTTTCGGTTTTAGCAACTTCGCCGGCCACTGTCCACCCAATCCTGAGAACAAACAGAGCTCCACAATGGCCGGCTTTTTCTCGGAATGCCAATGTTTCAGGCTCCGCCAAGCTGGGTTTCTGTTACCGCGCCTAATGCCGGCATTGTGAAACTCGCGTGCAGACACCCAGATTGACACCGGCGTCACGTGACGGATTAGGGCTCTAGGAAAGTTTTCAAAGCGGCGACAATGGGGGGCTCAGCCTGATCTGATATCTCCCACAGTTTAGCGGGAAAGAAAATCAGGATATATTCTCGTATGTAATAGGATTATCTTTTCCATTTCAAGTTCTATACAGCATGTAATTTATTTTTAATTAGGATTATATGTACCAGGAAAGAGAACTAGACTTCTCTGGAAAGTGTAATTCTAAGGATGGATGGGGAGAGGGGTTATTTTTTAACCTTTTAACTTTTTTTTTTTTTAATAGGCCCAGGGTCCAAGGTTTTTCCTCCAGCAGACTCACTCCGTTGAATAAGTCTCTCGAAGACGTGTGCTGCAAATGCTTGGCCAAGCACAGAACAGAAGCAGCTCTTGGGGACATTCAATTCATTCTTGTTGGGAAACCACATTTTGCAAAATTTTCTTAGAATTCCTACATCTGTGGGTTGTAACTGGGCTTAACGCTGTAGAAATGCAACGAAGCTCTTTTCTATACACCAAAAGCTTACTCTATTTTTAAAAAAAGTTTCCTGACATGGTGATTTTTTAAACGTAACTATAGAACAGCATTCTTCATAGCTCTGATTCAAACTCAGCAGTCAGACAATGAGACAATTTTGGGGTGAGGGTAACTGTTATTTATTTAAACATTGATTTTTGGATTGCTCCCAATGCCAGATGCTCATAAATCCTGGACTATTTCCAGATCTTGGACCACTCAGCCTTTTATGTGTTTTGTATAGCAGGAAACTGGGAGACTTGTTTTACCTGATAAGAAGTAGAATACAGTTGTTAACTGCAGGCTCTGGAATCATCCTGCTTGAGTTCAGTGATTTGCTGTGTGACCCTGTAGAATTACTTGATCTCTCTGTATCTTAATTCCCTCATGTGCAAAATGGGATAAGAATAGTAACTATGAAGATTGTCTTGAGAACTGTGTAAGATGATATTGGATCAGGTGCCTAGGAACATATATTAGTCATTATTTTCCTTTAAAGCACAGGGAAGAAACATCAGACTGTGTAATCTAAACTTCTTATGTTATAGGTGGAGGATTTGTTCAGGAAGAAAGGGGGGGAAAACCCTCTTGTTTTGGTCTGCTTCTTTACTTCTGCTTCTGTTTTCTCCTTCTCTGGAAATAATCGATTATAGTGGTAAGTACATAGATCCCAAAGGAAAGAAGGTCATGTGAGGATTTGAGCAATTGTCATGCCCTTCTGTTATTTCAAAATCTTTTGGTATCTTATTCTCTAGTTGAGATCAGATGATGACTAAAAGTTTTCAGTAGACTTTTCCCCTGCTTATTTCCACAAAAACCATTGTATCATGACTGAAGCCACCTATAGATACAGACATTTGATAGATACCAAGTCATAATTGTAGGGATGCAAAGAGTATTTCAAAGGACTTTCCCTCCTAGGATGCCCCAGAGCAGCAGGTAACCAACTGCCTGTGACATTTACTGATCCAGTGTGCAAAAATGCTTGGCCTTTTGCTTACCCTCTGACTTAGCCTAGTAGAGCTACCATAATGAAATACCAAACACTGAGTGGTTTAAACAACAGAAGTTTGTTTTCTCATAGCTTTAGAGGCAGAAAGTCCAAGGTCAAGGTGGCAAAGGCCCTCTGCTTGGCTTGTTGATGGCTGCTTTCTTTCTGTGACAGCACATGGTCTTTTCTGTGTATGAGTCCCTGGTATTTCTTCTTCTTAAA